GCTATAATATTACTATTAGGATGGGATGCTTTTCTCTATGTTGTTCTGGGAAAATAGGTGGTGACCTGCAGGTTTGAGGTGTGCAAGAGCTCTGAAGTCTGGACGCCTTTCATTTAATTTGCCTTTTCTCACACACTAGAGTCACTGAGGTTTTTTGTGTTTCCAGTGTTTGCTCAGTCCATCTTTGCTTCTCCTACACTCTTGGCTGCTCCTGCAATTCTATGTGAGACTTTCTTTTGCTTCATTTCTTTCTTGAAAGCCAATCCATATTTTCACTTAAAATAGCCCCCTTTTCTTAAATTAATTCTTTCTCACATTATGTCATATCATAGCAGTATCAGGGAGATCAGTGTTGAAAGTTCCATGTTTATGAGCTGTCTTGAGCCTGTGGATCTATTTTGGAGGCAAGTACTATGTTCTAAAATATTTTCTTTGACTCTGTTCTTGGGTAGGAACAGTATTTTAAATCTTTTATTTCAATTTGAAAGACATACATCTTCTGCTAACTACTAACATCTTCCTCCTAAAACTTTTTTGCAACTTCACTTAACAAGCCTATCTCCATGATAACATTATGTTTGCCAACCCTAACACATACAACCACTTTTACCATGCAGTACATTCTAGAACCAATAAGGGCTTTGTGTGTGTGTATGTGTGTGTGTGTGTGTGTGTGTGTGTGTGTGTGTGTAAGGTAGGTAGTATTATTATTCCAACTTTACCAAAAGGAAATTGAGGGTTTGAGAAGTTATGCGATTCTCTAAAATTACTTAGCTAGTATGAGAGAGAGTCAAGATTCAAGAGTTAAATCCACTTTTCATCTCATCAAAACTATTGTTGTAGCCATTCACTGCAACATGCATAGATGAGCTAATAATAAGCATGATACTATGGGGAAAGGTTTAAAATGCAGTTTGGATCTTGTTAATTCATATTAGACATTTTTGTAGTGTAAGGATCATCTCTATCCTTTGCTCTTTTTTTTGTTTATTTATTTTTGTGTTTTTTTGTTTGTTTGCTTTTTACTTCCAATGAGAGGGCCCATATTTGGTGAGCAAGATAAAATTATCACTTGATCAATCAGAGAATCATTATGCCATTTTTAAAAGAGATTTAAACACTGTTTTATGAGTTTCAGGTTTACAGAGCAACATAGCTATATTTTTTTATTTCTATCTATGGAAAAGCAGAATGATGTTTCATAAGTATCAGTAAACTCCCTACTGTTGGAGGTTTTGACATTTATACCCCAATCTTACCTCAGTGTTGTAGAAGAACATTGAAAATATCTGAACTATCTACTCTGAAATAACTCAAAGTAGGTACAGCTGCCCCACTGATTTTGCATGAATTATAGCCATCACTAAAAATGTTTATGCAATATAGATGCTTACCTGTGTGCTGGGAGAGCAGGAACAGTCAATTAGGAACAGTGAGTCTGAACTCAGAATATCAGCTG